GTTATATATATATATCTTATATATATATATATAACTTATATTGCATAATGAACATCATCCAGCCTATTAAATTTTGTAGTTTCATTTTCTTATCTTATAAGCTGCCATCTGTATTTTTATAAATGGTGTAAGCGGTAGCTATCCTTTCTGCACCAATTTTGTCATCCGTGATGATACTTCCTCAGGGCGCATAAACTTTTTGTTGTCCGTGGTTTCTCTTAAGGGGGTGATGCAGGGATGAGCATTTTTTCTAAAAAATTAAAAAATTAAAAGTTCGGGAATTGCATGCTATTTTCCCATGAATTTGGTTGTCAACCACATATTAGAAATGAAATAAGTAAATCTTATCTTGGTCTTCATCTCTGAAGATGAGGAATAAAGTTCGGCGATTGATAAGATCCGTCAAATGGATGACCAGTGGGGGCCATATGGGTCGGGTGAAGCCCGTGGTGCAGAATATTATCCTTTGTAAAATTTTGTTGACAACCACATTCATGGGAAAATTGCATGCAATTCCCGAACTTTTAATTTTTTAGAAAAAATGCTCATCCCTGCATCACCCCCTTAAGAGAAACCACGGACAACAAAAAGTTTATGCGCCCTGATACTTCCTATAATACTCTACATGACCGATTCATCATTTCGATGTTCAGTCTTCGAATATCGAGACAGTCATGGGAAGTAATCTCGCCTCAAAAAATTGACCCTGCCATTAGTGCCATGACCTTAAAGGTTAAATGCTGAAAGTCAGCAATTTGTAATACTACAGTAAAGCTGACATAAAACAAGATGTGCTCTTACAATGGTTTAGAGTTTGAGAAAAAGTATGAATGGGAAGATACCATCTTTATCTACCCGTATTCGATGACTAATCAAAATGAAATGTAAACTTCCACCCAATAGATTGTGGATATAAGATCGATTAAAGATAAAACATATACTGTTTGTTCAAATACTGCCTAATTAACAACAAATTAATCCTCCAGGTTAATTGCTCTTTACTTCTGTAGTGGTCCTCGTGTCTCATTTTTATCTGAAGAAATGTGATGCTGTACTTTTGTTGTTGAAAAAGTGACAGCGTCTTATCGGTATGAATTCATGATAAAAGAGGCGTATTGGTTACGCTCTTATCGTAAACTTATGTATGCATTTATTTGTGTCATTCAGGCACAAGATTATAAAACCCAATACAATGTTCAAATTATCAACTAGTCACAAACATCTCAGTTCCGATTACAATTAAATGGAAATAGCACAAAGAAACAAAGGCCTACCAAAAACGAATGTAGATGCTAATGCAAATCCATGTAAATGCATTTAGATTTTGTAAATTATTAACACGACGACATACTTATATCGACCTTCAAAATTAGATATAGAGTGAATTTTAATGAAATTAAATGCACGGAATTTTTGTAGCGTACAAGGCCGCATATTTTAAAACCTATTTGCTCTAGCACAGCGCAAAGTGGAACAAGCATGGCATTTAAAAAATTCTCAAGTCGAGAATTGTAGAAGCTCTTAAATATGGATATGTACGCAGTCTGCAAGGATTGAAGAAAGTGAGAAATATGTACATTGGTCATAAACTAGTGGAAACATTCAGGCGATTCGGGGCGATGTTTGGAATCGACATGTGAAGAAATAAGTGAAATATTCAATGAGAAGAAGGAGAGGAGGGGCACACATGCAGCGCAGTTTGTGGGGGGTGTTGGATTGGATTCTACGACGTTTTTTTCCATTCTACTCTAGTCAAGACATTTGAATAGGTGGCTCTCATTTTAGAATTGATATTGCATACGTCTGGAGTAGAAGGAGGAAGAGTAAGATATTTATGTGGTCTTTTTTTGCGAAAATCAGTTACACGACATATCTAAGTATGTATGAATGAGACTGTGCCATGCTCAGAATTGTGTGCTGAACTATAGATAGGCTTAGCGAAATTTACAAAGTAGTGTTTCAATTTGAATTCATTGATCTTACACATAGTTCCGTCCAAGAGCTTATGTGAGACCATTCTGATTCTGAGAATAATGGCTTAAAAGAACTAAGGAACTGAGAATTAATTTCAATAAAGGAATAAGTATTTCTGTACATTATATACATTTGTACATACGCGAAATCTCACAATTTTTGGTAGATAGATGATAGAAAGTCTTGTCCATGACCGTCCTTTTGCCCATTTTGCTTTCTCTTTCTTGGGCTGTCGAAAATATCGAAACCTTAACGGCACGAGAGGGTATGCATTTTGGTAGTGAGTTGATTTTTCCATCCATTTTAGCACAGCATGGTAGCCGATTTGCCCGTTTGCTCAATTCAAAGCACTCAAACAGCAACTACCACTTTTTCTATTTGAATAAATGCTTTTTGATTTATGGGGCCATCGAGATAACCGTACAACCGCGACCATTCCATCGTACTGCAGTCCTCGTGCTCCGCCAACGGCTTCGGACTTTGGAGGGCTTATCATCAGCTTGCCAAAGTGCTGCGCCTTCGACCACATCAAGTTTCCTTCTTCAAGTAAAGGCACCAAAGAGTTCTAGATTTTAAGGAAAGTGATTGAAGTTCTAGATTTTTTATGGTTTCCTGAAACTAAATACTTCGCATTATCACATATACCTTGAACGAACGAATGAACTTAATTTTCGCAACAATCTAGATTTTACAATATTATTCGAAGTCCAGTTACCTATGCAGTTCTACATTGCAGTAAGCAGTACACTGCAGTAGTATGTACGTTGTTTCTTCCGTTTCAGTGGAACATGATGCTTAAATCATATTGAATCAAAACTATATGATTTGGCTTTCAGTGAGATTCATTGTAAGGGACAGATCAAAATCATTCTGGTTAGGTGACCGATTTAATGTACATACATTAATGCACGTAATTTTGTAAATATAGCCAGTATCTTAATTCATGCATATGTACATTATCTTGAATTAATTCCACAGTCAAATTCCAAACCCATCAGGTCGATGTAAAAAGTCAATTTCTAAAATTATTTGACGGGTTGATGACTTGTTGTCTTAATGATTGTTTTTAGTATAAATCTAATTATCAATTCATATGGCCATTTTGACTCTTATGCAGACCCCCCATAAACTCGTATTTATTATTACATAAACTCGTTCGGGGTCTGTGTGTAGAGCAGTATTATTATCTTTTGTTAATATCTAATGTCCATCGTTTCCGCCGCGTGGTCGTGGTTGAGGTGCCGTTTTGTGTGCGCCTCGACGAGAATGTACGTTTTGATCTGAAGCAAAAGAACTAAAGAAGAAAGGGCGACGCTACGCGTACCTGATCTGAATTATGAATGGAACTCCGAACAGTCCATCACACACACACAAAAGACACAAGGAATAGGAAGGAATGGTAAAATAGAGATGGTCAAATAATGAGGCCTATTCATGATGCCACCACCCGTGCCACCCACAGGTTTAAGAGTTCTCATCTAATGTCTCTCTCCCCATGCTCCACAAAATACGGACGAAATTAAGGGCTACATAGTTAATACTCAGGAGAAGTATGCTGGGTATAACCACATGAAGAACGAGGAACAGGAGGCGTATATGCTTCAATAGTAATACTGATAAGCTCAACTTAAACAATTACAATATCATCGATTGAATAATTTAATGCTCAATTCATCTCAGTTTCTTAATGCCACACTCGCTTTGCGTAACGGACATATCAATGTATTCCATATTTTCACCAGACAAGTTCCAAGTTGTATCAATCTGAAGTGACTTGAATATCGGACTTACTGAAAGCTACGATTTGGTCCTGAGAGGAAAAAGAAGTAGAACATGGATGATGATGATGATGATGAGACAGATATTATTGCCTTTTGAACACTAGACGAGAGTTGTGAAATGTACAGCAAGCGAGTCATCTTCCTTGGAAAATTGATTGCTCTTCAAAAAACTTCTTTTAATAATGGACGTTCTGGAATTTTTCGTTATTGGGATTTCCTCTTCATTCCGCTTTCCAACTTCTTAGGATTAGAGGATATATGAATGGAGCCGTATTTTTATACCAAGACCTTACGTCTCGTTCTCGACTCCCTATCCAGAATCACCTATAAAATGTCTTTAATCAAATGTCGACCAAGGAATATCCACACAAGCAAATTAAACGCAATTCCCTCCTTGTCAATGATGGTGTGGTATGTCGAGCAACTTTGAATGATTTCCTTCCAGTCGACCACAATGAAAATGCAAATTTAGACAGCTATCCTCCACACAATCTTTAAGCCAGCCAATGTTAAAATATAGCAGCTAAATTCGTCGTTCGTTGCTCCTAATGCGATTTGCGACCTATATTTCGATTGTTAGTGGTTTACGTCAAAGATATTCTGGATGTGAACTGGAACTGGACGATTACAATGCTAGGGAGAAATATATTACAGGTACATAGATGCATTCAACTTCACAAGATGAAAATGTCCATACTCCATGTCCATGCTCTCTAAGATATCATTCTTACGTTATGAATACCACGTTTTGAATGATTTATGACCGATCACAATTTTGTGAGTGGGTGGGTGTATGTTCATATCATAGAAATCACTTCATATAAAGCACAGGTGCACACGAGCAACAACTTTCACCAGAGATTTTTCACACCCTACTCCCTCGATAAAATATCCAACTTTCCAAACAAGGGAACCTTCCCTAGTGTAAATTTCTGACTTTTCAGAAAGTTGAACACATTATACCAATTCCAATCAGTCTACTCCTAGAATAAAAATATCAACCATAAACAAAGTTAAGCTGCAATATGTTCATTACTTACTCTAGATTTTAAACCTGTTTTTTACCATCATTTTAGAACGACGTTTTTTATCATCAATTTGTGAGGGACACAACAAATTTTCGTCAGTAGAATATTGGGTGACCTGAGAGAAAGCCGAGGAGGGGCGGAGAGGTCAATGGCAGCGAGAGGAGTTTGCGTGGAAAGAGCGAGAAGCATCATCATCACCATTTTAATTCATGCTTCAGCCTGATCCAGCCTTCAGTCGCGATCCTTCCTCCACTTGAGGCACACGGAATTTTCTCTGCCGGCTGATCGTATTTTTATCCTCATCCTCCCCGATTGTCAAAACCTACTTTATCCAGATCTTATCATTTGTCACTTGAGTACTGCTTCAAAAACCAAGGTGAGTCCTTTTTAAGGTCAAGCAAATAGGGAGACTATTTTCTTGACCTACAGACATAACTTGACAATGGAGGATTGAACCAGTGTGGTAGGCGTATTTTTCCTAGTGTGTGTGTCAGTCAGTGTCCTTTTATTTCACATTTAGCGTATTAAAATTGTAAAATAAAATTTCTCATCAGGTTTTTAAGCACAAGTTGATAAAAATTTAGTTGATTTTCTAACAAGGTCATAGACGAGACCAAACACTCAAATTTTCATCTAGAGTAGAGTCCTTTGCGAGATTATTTGGGAGGTCATCATCGAAAAAAAATTGTTCAACACTTTATTTAATCACAATTTGATTCCAAGTATAACTCGTGTAGAAGTTTGACAGCGTAAATGTAATCTAATGAGGTTTTATTTCCCGTGTTGATTTTTTTATTCCGTTCTGTTCTTTTCTTGGTTCTTTTCTTTGGATATAGAAAATGGCACCAGTTTCTTCAAGCACCCTACCAGCGGGTCAGTACAAGGTTGTGTCGATCGCCCTGGACCTCACTGGAAAAAAGTTGATTGACGAGATTTGCCAAATTGGAGCCTATTGCGACACGGAGAAGTCTTTTTCGCAATATATCATGCCATTTCGAGATATCAGTTCGTCATCTATCAGAAGTCATGGCGTTAGGATCTTGACCACTTTTGGGTAAGACGTGGACATTATCAATCCATATATACATATAGACCCAATAGGTAGCAACGACCAACGTAGAGACCCAACGTAGCAATAAGCCGACGTGCTCTGATCATGTCGCCCTTTCTCTAATGGGACATCATCATTTCTTTATTGGCAAAAAAGTTGATTTCAACTTCTGTATTTCATTCCTCAAGTTTTCTTTTTATTTGAGTTTCTCATTGTCCCCAAGAGGCGATATTTATCGATATGAAACCATGTCTCTCTAGTTAGTCAGTTTTGTCTTCTTCTTTTTACTTTCCCCCTAATATTTGATTTAGTTCACTCCACTCCTCCATATCCTCGTGATGGATTAAGTTAGCTGCGAGTATTATATCTTGCAAGTTTTGTAACTATGTTTAAATCCGTCCACAGAAAATATCGGGTTTTGAAAGAAGCATCCACGATGAAAACACTTCGGACCAAAAGCGAATTTGCGGGCTTGAGCGACTTTATGCAATGGCTGAAGGAGATGAAGGGGGGCTCCGATGGAATCATTCTGGCGTATCACGACAATAACCGAGACACGGTCACATCGTTCTTATTAGAAAGCTGCAACCGGTTTAAGCTGGCAGACGACTTTTTCAACATAGTAGTTGGGTTCATCAATGTTGAAATACTCGCAAAGGAAATTTCAGAGGAGCCTGACTCTGAACTAAAAGGAAAGAATCTGACTCTTCGTGCACTGACCAAAGAATGTAGGTTCACATTTTTACTGCTACTTTGTTAGTTATTAAATTGTACCTCTCTTCTCATTTAAAAAGAGAGTAATAATAATTCTATTACTTTTAAGTGTTAACCAATGATCAAGTGAAAGGAAACAACAAACGAGCACTGTCAATGCAAAGTGCAAGAAATAGAGCCGACTATACCTACATGGTTCTGCAGAAACTGACAAAATCTGAGGGTGAAGTGAAAGCGTCTGATCAAATCATGAAACTTTGTGCAAACCGTGTCGATGTAAGACTCTTCACAATTATTATTATCTTATTTCATTTTTATCTTCACGAATTGAATTAGATGTTTTAAATGACAATTTTTAATTCACATGATAGGCTTTGAAGACCTTGGCGAAACAACAAGTGGCGTCAGAGAAAATTCTAACATTAAAACCATTGTTTGCCGGATTGATGCGAAAGAGTACCAAGGATAGATCTAGAGCTGTCATTCTTCGGCGATATCTGATAAATGCTGAAATTGATTATGCAATGCTACTGCAAGCTTATGAAAATGGGTCAGGATCTGAAGAGTCGGTCTCTGCCGTCATTTCTAAAACTACTGCTGTCAACAGGGAAAAAGTAAGCTCGAGCTATAAAAAATTGCGTAATAGAATATGTTACTGTCATGCTATAATATTAAATATTATATAAATATTAATTCCTGTTTTTTAGGATATGGAGGAGTTGGTAGCCACGATTATGTCTCATTTCAAGCATGGAGGCGAGGAAAAGAAGAATGAAAAAGGGGTTGAAATTGGACAAGGCGAGCCTACTATTACTATTACTACTGTTGTGAATGAAAGTGCAACATCTACCTCATCTACCGAGTCGGATGATGACGACTTCGAAGAAGCTCATGAAGATGAAGTTGCTGAAAAGTAATGTTTGTTGTGAACTAATTATGTAGCTAAAAGTCTCATGCATAATTATTTGTTCCTGTTTTCTGAATGATAACATTGTTATGTCAAATGAATTGATAATTAGATGTGTTTCAACTATTTGCTGTATTTTATATACAGCATTAAGTTCAAAATCAATGTGTGCTTTACGATGCATTATTGTTACCTGAAATTATTTGATTGTTATTTTTGTCATCGTTGTCAAAATATCAATAAATACACTGAATTTATATAATTATTATGAATAATGTATTGACAAACAACCCCAAATCACAAAATATGTAAACTTTCCTAATTAATTTAAATGTAATTGTGCTAAGAGATGATAGTTCAACTAGAGAATTCTAAAACAAGGTTTTCATTAATTAGCTATAGCCGACACTCTTTTTATTGCTTGTTAATACTGAATCTGAAACAAGTATCAATTTCTGATTGGGTTTGTCCTTAATTGTGATTTCTAAATTTTTAATATTCCATTCTGCATATTTGTTATTTTGAGATTGCTCCTCGTCGATGAGGTCGCCCACTTTGCTAGCTGCATGAGAGTCTCTCATGGACCATAAATAAAGTATCCCTTCGTGGTTTGACCCCTTAATTGGAATTTCAAATCTAGCTTCTTCGGATGTACTGAAATTTTTCGAGTCGCCCAAGTCCACGCTTCCAAAACCTACGGGTTCTCCCAGGAATGAGACCAGTGCCTGATTGCTCATCAGAATGTCTCGTGCTTGGACAAAATAGGGCGAGTCCTTCAGTTTCTTTTGTGTCAAAAATCGCATTAGCAGTGCGTTTCCTATTACAAATACCCCACCTATGGACGCAACCTTCATAAGGGACTGTACAGGAATTCTATGCATTTCCAACCTGTAACATCAATTACAGAAAATCAACCAACAGGCAGTTAATAATTTCGTTTCATAATAATTCTATAATAAGAAATGCACACTTTTTGCTAAGTTGAAAGGTTGTTCTATCCTGCTGGGCTTGCAGAGTTCAAGTAAGTCACACTGTATCACTGGTGAAGTGCTTTTATTTTAAATATACTGATATAAACCAAAATTGCAAATTGTCTTTGATGTATATATGATGTTACTATATGTGTCTCCGTGTTGTGTACTTTCACCATGTGCCGAAGTGCAAAACAAATAAATATTTTTGGTAGTTTTGGTTTAGTTTAGCGCTTCAGTTTTAAATACGTGGAGAGTTCCCCAGCGAAGGAGAGGTGCTGCCGTAAAAAGATTGCAGACTGTATATTTTTTCTTGAACATTTTGGCATTTTGCGAGCAAGTCACGAGTTAAAGTATTCGTCTTCATCTGATGATGAGTTGTATTTATTACATGCACCACATCCCCTGGTTCTATTAATTAACTATCATTAGAATTAGGTAGGAGTTAACTTATTTTGTTTTGACATAATTTACTCTTACTCACTACTATACTACGTACTAATACAGACAAATCTATGCAAAGAGGAAAAACACGTCCTGTCGTTGTAGTCAGTAATAATCGTTATCTTAAATTTCAGTCCGGTTATTGAAATCTGGAAAATTACAAAATTCGATACATTATTACAACAAGATTATTATTTTAGTTAAACGTGTAGAGTAGAATGCTGTGGCGTTCAGAAACACTTCCGACTATTAAACAGATATATGCAATTTGTGATTTTGGTAAAGTTGCAATAAAAACCAAATAAGTCCGCAGAGGATTTTAAAAGAATATAAAAACTGACTAAACATATTTTCTTAGATTAAGAGTTTTGAGGCTGGTCATACTCACATATATACAATTTCTAGTTTAATTTTAATTATTGTGCAAAAGATACGTAACAATAGGTTTAATGTCTTATAAGTGTTGAACAGATTGATTTTAGATGAGATCATTATAAGACTATAGTATTTTATATTTTGTTAAGTTCAAACTAGACTAGAACTTGTTCTTGTCATGGCAGAAGAACATCAAAACTCAGAGTTTAAAGTGCCTCCTCCTACAGACGAGTTGCAAAATGCCAAGAAAAATGGGGCGGATATTGACGATGATGACCACGACTTGTTTAAGTCAGCAATGGAAGTAAGTAATACTTGGTCCTTAGTTGTGTCTTGTACCTTTTTGTAACAAAATGCAAACTATGCTGTGTATACATATGTAATTCTGATTTAGTCAAATGAGTAATAAGAATAAGTTTGTGTATTTATTTACATGCATTGCATATGTAATGCAGGAAACGCCTACTATTTTATAGTTTAGAGCACAAAGATCCCTTAAATTTATTATTATTTCGTATTATTCTTAATTTTGGTTTGTCTCCAAAATTTTAAATATATAAGTAACATTGTTTCTGATTGTCTACAGTCACCAATGACAGACACTGATAGAACAATTCACGAAGACGAGATTGACCTGAACGATGACGATGATTTTGATACGTCCAGCAGCAGCCCATCAGGGATGAATGATATTCCTGGTGGTCCTAACAGCGACCCTTCGCCAATTGAAAGTGAGAAACATTTCGGAAACCACCTGGATAGACAAAATTCAGACTCGACACCACCAAAGTTTTCAAACAACGGAACAAGTTCTTCGCCAATTGAACCGACTGAGCCTTATAAAGTGGAATGCAATGAAAAACCGGCGGTGGTAAGTGATAATGTAATACAATGTAATACATAACGGCGACATGGCGTGCTACCAAATATGTAATTTTTAGGATTCAAAATTCCCGTTTCAAAATTCCAATTACATTTTTCAGGTTGATTCTGCGGGTACGAGATCTGATAATCACGATGATGAAGATGTAAGAGTAAACAATAAGCAACAAATTGTCAAAATATCTACACGACTTTACTTGATCGACCTACGTTTCTTGCCACTAACTTTTTGCATCTTTTTCCATTTTTCAGCAAGGAACAGATCAGTTCCTAGAAGTATCCGTTACTGAACCACAGAAACAAGGGGATGGAATGTCATCATTTCTTGTTTATCGTGTAACTACCAGAACAAATATTGCCTTGTTTCGGTATGTTTATTATTCTAATTTTATAATAATTATGTTCATTTCTACTAGTAATGCAATAATATTGACCATGTCGTTCCCTTGCAGGAGAAAGGAATTCGCCGTGTGGAGGAGATTCTCAGACTTTCTTGGCCTTCATTCCAAGATGGCTGATAAATATTTGAAAAAGGTACTATCCTAATATGCCAGTTAATTGCATTTTAAATATTCCCCAAAATTTTCCCGTCTAGGGACGAATTGTGCCACCAGCTCCAGAGAAAAATGTAATTGGAACTACAAAGGTATACTTTAGTACCCATTTCCCCTTTACTAAATTATTATAAGCTGTAAATATTATAAGATTATCTACAAACGTTTTGTCTAAAAATCCAAACAGCTCAAAATGTCAGGTCAAGCAGAAAGTTCATCTGGAGGTCACAATGCCAATCAAGCAGGGGACTTTGTTGAAAAAAGGCGTCATGTTTTGGAACGTTTTCTAAATCGTATTGCCGTTCATCCTTTTCTCAGAATTGATCCAGATTTTAGAGATTTTCTTGAAATTGATTCCGATTTGCCGAGGTCAACTTCGACCTCAGCATTGAGTGGTGCTGGCGTTGCGCGGTTCTTCAGTAAAGTTGGCGAAACAATGAGCAAAATTTCATACAAGATGGATGAAAATGATCCTGTAATAACTATTATCAAAACTGTTGACTCATAGTGCTTGATTAAAATTTATATCCCATGTCCCTTTTTTAGTGGTTCGAAGAAAAGATTCAAAACATTGAAGGTACATATTTAAAAACTAGCATTTATTATATACTTTAATTATCATGAACGTTTATTAAGCCAGCTTGCTAAAACATTTTCGTTTCGCCCAGCTCTAGAAAATCAGCTACGAAAAGTTCACAATAGCGTTGAACTTCTTGTTGCAAACAGAAAGGAATTAGCTCAATCAACTGGGATATTTTCAAAGAGTGCAGGTTAGTGCCATGTATTTTGCGTAATTTATAAAACATTTATGCATTGTTGGCCTTCGAGGTTTTTGTTGACCTGTAATGGCTTTCCTTTCAGCCATTCTCAGCAACTCTGAAGAACACACAGGATTGGCTAGGGCAATGGCTCAGTTGGCAGACGCTGAAGATAAGGTTTGTTTTTTATTAATACAAAAAAAAACAAATAAAATAAATTTTAATGGTAATTAGAATTCACACAGTAAAACTAATAAATTTGACGCTTATTGTGTTATGTTTTAGGTGGAGCAGATGCACAATGAACAAGCCAACCTTGACTTTTTTATGTTTTCCGAATTACTTAGGGATTACATAGCTTTGATTGGATCTGTAAAAGTGAGTGCATAACAGTACATACGCATAACTGTGTTTTTCTGTATTATGGCGTACATAATTAATTTGCATTTTAGGAAGTTTTTCATGAGCGAGTGAAAGCATATCAAGTATGGCAGCATTCTCAGCAAACCTTAAATAAGAAACGAGAACTCAAAGCAAAGTTGGAACTGCAGGTTCGGAATGACAAAATTGCTCAAGCTCGGGAAGAAGTTGTTGAAGTAAGTCTTAATTATGGTTACTAATGTAAGTGTGATTATTAATTGTTTTTAAATACAACAAATAGTGGGAGGGGAAAGTTGAGAGGTCGCAAGAGGAGTTTGAAGCCATTTCAAAAGTGATAAAAAAAGAATTGGAGACATTTGAAAGCGCACGTGTTAGAGACTTTAAGAAAACAATTATTAAATATTTAGAATCCCTTCTTACTCATCAAAATGAGGTACGTATGCAGCTAAGATTTAACATGAGTTTAAAATATATTGTAAATTATTCTAAAATTAATGCGTAATTTCTTTTACTGCGTTTAGTTGGTAAAATATTGGGAGGCGTTTCTTCCAGAAGCGAAAGCAATTGCATGACCAGATCCCAAAAATCTCTAAATTTTTTGGGAATGATAAAGAAGATGCATAATTCCTATGTTAATTACCAAATAGACAAATATAATTTCTTTACCTAAGAAATCAACCACTTCAGAATCTGCTACCTACCAATACCCAGTATCCTACTGATATACACATTAAGAGATAATTAAGCAATTGAACTGAAACAATACAATATTTTTATGCTTTGTACATTGTCAGCAAATTTGAATATCTATTCCATTTCGTATATCAATCAATCAGGTCTATTACAAGGAACGTGGATAAATATGAGGGAGCTAAGGATAATCTAACGGTGTGTTTAAGAGTGCATGTGTGTATGTATATGCATTTCAGAGTACGAAACTGATAAGTCAAATGTGTTGACATAATTAAATAATATATATATATGTGACTATCAACCCAAACATTCGCTTCAGTACCTTGTACTACTCTAAAAAATATTACCAACAAATTACATTGCCAGCTTTAAATGATATAGAATATGAAAAAGATTATACTTTGTATCTCACAGTAAAAAAACATTAATTGTCATAATAAAAAAATAGAGTTTTGATGTCATTCCGTTAAAATTTTTCCCAAAACAGGATTAATTTCGATTCCGTTGGTATGCATAAAGAAATAAATAAATAATAAGCAGTAGTGTATCGACCGTAGCAATGGATCCCTTGGGGGGTTGTTCGTCTTGTACGAGTGTGTAGCTAGCTGTGTAAATTGAATCCATAGCTGTAAATGTGGAGAAAGCAACAGGATGATAAAGAAAGCTAATACCACAGCAGTCCTGTAACTTACAACCTGTAACAGAGAGGAACAGATACGATGTACCATCGTCGACATTCTGTTTGTAAGGTTATTTTGAATATATGGCGAAACATGCTGTTGAGATGATTATTCTTGTGTAGGGAGCCAAGTCAAATGGACTTTTTCTCCAGCCCAACTTGTGCATAGTTTACAACAATGGAGAGAATTGGTTGTGCAGAGGCGTGCAAAGAATTTGCAAAGTCTGTCCAAAAATGTTTGCCTTTGGTGGAGGATGGGAGTAGGGTGGTGGTGGAAGCAGTAAGCACATTCCGGAGAAAGTTGGTTTTCTCTTCTCTCCTCCTCCACCTCCTCATCGTCGTCGCTCCATGGACACACTGCCGCTGTTGCTGCTTTTCGAAGGACGGTCTGCGGATTGCGGAGCCAAAGGTGTTACTTTCCCTTCAATAATGCAGTAAGTAGCGTTGGTAGAGCAGCATGTATATAAATATTGCCACAGTCAGTCGATGGGTGGCTGTATTTGCTTTCGTCTTGCTTGGTCTGCTCATGTATGTAACTCATGCCTCCTTGCTTTCTCTCCGTTTGTGTGTGTGTGTGTGTATTTGTGTGTTTGCTATAATACATTATGGTCTGCTTGGTGGGTGAGTGAGTCGGCATTTGGACAATTTGCTTTATAATGTCGCACATTGGAGTGAGAACGAGAGAGGTTTTCATGCAGGCTGAAGGAACGACACGGCTCTGGCATTTTCCATCGCATGGAAAATCAGAAAAATGTCGCATGTCGAATGTCATGTACTAGTTCTAGCAGCAGCAGCAGCAGCTCCTTATTTTCGGGACACGGAAGCCATTGCGAAAATAAACGACAAGTTCATGTGTGGCTGATTTTCTAAAGTGTTCCTTCATACACATGTGCTCTTAGGCAAGAGGACAAACTTATTTCTGAACCCACCGTGTGCTTACCTGCATTCGACACAGGCCGTGAGTTTGGTTGAGAAAGACTACCCAGCCCAACGGAGAGTAAGAGTAAAATCCAATATATCGCTCATACACTCCGTCTTTTTACCTGGCTTGGCTCTCACAGCCGATTACTTTTTCATTAGCTTATTTCGCACACATGCCACTCATCCTCCTTTACCTGTAGTACCTACACCCTCACGCTTTCTATGTGCATACCCCCACACATTGTGATGATGGGGATTTGTGTGTGCTTTAACAACCCGTATCAAACTTAAATTACAACGTATATACTTTTTATTTTCAATCGATAGTTGTGCGATAGTTGTGTGTATCGGGATGGGCATGACATGCGACATGTAAATATATTATGTTTGTATTGCGTTTTGACAATTACTGCTAACAGGAATACAAGCATTCATGGGTGGGTGGTATGGTTATATTTATTTATACGCATACGAAAAGCCGTGCAGGGACTTTACGGGGAAGATTTTCCATCCTTGGAGTTTAATTAGATATACATAGCTGAGGATTATTTTCGTCTCATCCCCAAACACTCTATCCATTTCCATGAGGTGGCTGAAACGGAAAGCTGGAGGGTGACAAGGTTAAATGAGGTATTCGACGATCATCAATCTTTATTTACTATTGACATTTTCTATTCGGGTTACTTTTTACAACCAACTTTCACCTGGCCTAAGATTCATCATCCATTATTTACGTGCATCCTAGCTCCATCGTACATATTCTGCATTCGGATTACTTTGAATGGAGTGAAAAGGTGATGGCCCAACGATGATATGAGTTGGACCGGAATAGAAGTCTAATACATATTTACATGCCCATAATGTATATAGTTCAAAAATGTTATGCGCCCTCGACAAATGACGCTCGTGTAATATTATTGTGGATGGTTTTATGTAGTCAGTAGATTGGCGAGAATAACTTTATTTTATTCTAGCTTCTTTACTTCACATTCATCAAAAAAAGTTTAGGAAAGCATATCATGCTCCGCCAGCAGTCGAATGTGGTGAATCACGTCTTGAGAACTCAGGGGGCATCCTTGATATCTATCCGCACAAAGGGTCCCGTTCAAAAATTTTTCCGTCTGACCCATCGCCACTGCTTCCTCCAAAAACTTCAACGCTGTATTGCTTGCACATTGTTGAGAATACTCTTTACGGTAGTCGCCAGATCTATTCACAAATTCACAACCACGCCAAATATCAACTATTTAGTGAGGCACGCATATCGTTGTAAGTAATGATTACAGTTTTAGAGCCCGTATCAATGTTTTCGTTGTATGTGGAATGTAAAAGTCATCGGGTATGTGCTTCCCAGTCTGCACCAGTTTTCCCAACTCACATAATGCAAATGGAAAACATTGACCGTCATCTAATTTTCTGAGCAACTGTGTTATCAAAAAAATATGAAAGATTAGAGTATTTGTAAAAGCATGAAACAATTCATTTTACCTTAAACATTGATTCTGCAAGTTCATCTCTTCTGCAAAGTTTGTGCAAATTGACTTCTCTCCTTCGACGACGGCCAGAAGGATCTCCAAGAAATAGGTTATTCATATTAAGTGGCAAAATTTCAATGTATCTAAGTACAAAAATCTGCAAATTAAGATTGCGATCGTTATTTTTATAGACAACTTTTACAATCTACCTCTACAATTGAATTAAAGTTACATAAAATTCAAGTGCACAACCTGAAGCATAAGTAGACACAAGAAAATTAGTTCAAACTGATCGACCCTAAAATACCATCCGAATGAAGACCCCAGGGAAATATTGGAAATAAATCCATCTACTTGAGATCCAACGTATGAGGATAAGAACAGGAACAAGTTCGTCACATCTCCATAATTATGGAATGGCACTCGAAACCCAATATAATCGTTTTTCGATGAAATCGTCAAATCTGATATATGACTAGCACCCAAAAATAAGGACATTATTCCGAATTTTTATAGAAAGAATCAACCTATGCTCTGTTTTTCTGCACACTGCAACTCGTCTCAACAGTGACTTATTAATGGCCTTATTGTATCACGAATTAGCAAGATGGCAAAGCAAATTAGCCAATTGGTAAGCAAATGATGTGCAAACTTCAACAAAGACAAAACCCGTGTTCATACTGGGAGAAAGAGATCAATATTTAGTTTTACTTACGTACAGCCACATACATGCATATACGCCATTCTTTTGTACATACATATTCGTGTCAACATAACATTTGTCCTCTTTTAAGGAAGCACATGCATATAAAGTATGTGCAATTATCAGACCCAATGCAGCTCATCCAATTCCTGAGTGCACATATGTAGGTAAGTGTGCAATATATTTATGCATGTACTGACGATCAGTACATAATAGCTACATATTTGAAATGTTTTGTTTAATATTTGAATTACAAACTTTGTAATTACATAAAATAATCTTTACTGTATAATTCTGGCTGTTGGTCGTAAAACAATATCCCTGGTCGTCGTTTTTAAGAATTTTTGAGCAGTTGCTAAGAAATGGTGCATTATTTAGAGGAATAATTTACTGGAATTAGATCGCTTTCAACGTCAGTTTCTCGCCGGTAATTTTTTAGCCTGCGTCAGGGCTTAAGGAACCGTCATAATTTCCGTCCGTCCATCCGTCCCAAAACACGATAGAGCCAAAACGACTGAACCGATTGACTTGAAATTTTTACCATATGCATATTGGACAAAGTTAGGAAACGAGTTTGAAGATTGGCGAAATCTGTCAAGTGGTTGACCACTGGGGGTTATCGGAGTGGTCAGAGACTAAGTCCCTGGCTCGGGCTATATGGGGTCTGCACTGTAAATTATGTAAATTCAAGGAAATTATTCCTCTAAATTTTGCACCATTTCTTAGCAACTGCTCAAAAATTCTTAAAAATGACGACCAGGGATATTGTTTTACGACCAACAGCCAGAATTAAGTTTTTATTTAGTGCATAATTCATTTTACTTCTTTAAATAAAATATCGATTGAAAATCATGGCAAATCCAATGACACAAATGTGACAACATAATCACTATAATGCAGTTCGACTTGCTTGGCATTGATACACATGTATCAAAACATACTCGACCAACCACAGATATGCTTGATAAAAGTGAGAATACTTGATGGTGGAAAATGGCTTGATATCAAGACATTTTCTCCTCGGTATCAGTCTTTCCCTATCTCTCTCTACGTCTTCCCCAAATTCCGAATTCCTGGAGAATACCCATCATTCATTATAATAATGCATTTAGAATGTGGAGCTCTTGGCTTTGGATGGAGCAAAATTCTTCTTGTTTCACCACCATCGAAATCTCTCAATAGTACTTATGTATTAAGTTGAGTGCGTGGTTTATTCCAAGACCGGACTGTATGTACATGCATATAAAAATGACTTATGCCTTGAAATTACTCTCTCTGGTCAAGATGTCCATTGTCATAAAAGTGATAAATTTTGAAATCAGCAGTGGAGAATAGTAAAGAAAAGCATATGAGCTGAAATCTACATAAATTATCGTTTTTATTAATCCGCAACAAAGTTACTGTATGTGAATTGTTTTCCAACAAAATGTCAACTTTAATAGCCACACACAACTAACAGAACAGTAAAAGAACCATCTAATTGAAAACGATCAGACAATTTATTCTCCTTTTACCACGAAGAGCATATATAAAATTTGAGTACTACGAAGGAGGGAATAAGAGCCGCACATATTTACAAGTGCACAAGCGAAAAGAATCATATCCGAGGATGGTCGTTCTGTTGAGCCTGAAATTCAAACCATCAAACCCAATTATTCTAAATGGCTCCTCTTGAACATTTCCTGAAGCCATCGGGCCTGCAAAGATAGACATGCACTGGCCATAATTTTGCCAAAATGGCAATTTTTATTTCCCATTTCTCTTCCATTTCAAAGAGCATGAAGGTGTATGCGTGAGGGTGAAGGAAACCTCCATGTCTGTCCTTCGTATATCATTCTCTTGTATTATGCTGACAGCCAACGAACTCATCTGGCCAAGCTTTCCCCTACCCTCCAATCTAAAATCCAATAGGAACAAGAAGTCTGTTTTAAAAATGTAATATACGATCAGTAAGCCCGACTCCGTTTTATTATTACGAGAAAAATATGCCCTTGTGCCCCTCAACCTGAGCCGCAAAAATAACAGTCTTATCTTACGCTATCTATCTCGAAATTCAATGCCCAACTTCACAGCCAGGCTGGATAAGCGACAACCACACCGTATTATTTATTTCTTCATGCGGAGAAAGCACACCTGCATATACGAAAGATAGGGTAACTTTGATGGCTCTAGGTCATGGCCCCATCCTCGCAAATACTTATCTAGCTAGAGACGTATTTACATGTACCTGTCATTCTGTGACTTGTAAAGCAAGTCACAGAACCCCACACGAAATGAAATCATAACGAACGTCCACTAATGTATGACACGAATCGAGAATTTGGGGTAAGCAATAGTAATCCGCAACTAAATGCTACCATTTCTTGAAAGAGCACACCAGTAGCTATCTTTTGGTAGACAGTTTGTTATTGTCAATTCTGGATACATTAGTGGACCTACTTTATGTGACCTAAACAGCTAAATTATAACTAAAGGGGTCCTTCTGCTCTCGTTCATATTCTCAGGTCTATAGTAAATTCATAGTAAGTGGATTTTATTAAGGAGGACTTCATTAAATACATATTATTGTTTTGCATGCATAACAAGGTGCATCTGCCATGATTAGCCAGGGCTTTTCCACTTTTGACTTAGGCAAAGTTTATTATGAAGGTACTTGTGGAGGAAATCCTCCTTCATTTAGTGTTGCATGCACAAATGTATGCAAAATTCATATGGCGGAAAATGAGAGCGCATTGATACCGGGTATAATATAGAAATGTGTGGTGTCATCTCTCCTCGCGTGGTCTCTAACGAGGACACATATGTATTGTTGGTGTGTCCCAGTTTGTAGTGTTTTGCGGTTTTGCGGCCAACGGAGATCGGGATGCTAATGGAGTTTCACACATTTTACTCATTTCTAGTTTATTTCGATTACTCGGCCGCTCCCAAAGTCCAAAATATATAAACAGACTTGTGTTCACACGGTATTTCCCCTTTTAGAAAGTTCACCATTGCAATAAATTGACTGTATTATCTTTGTTCTGGGATCAACAATTCAAGTAAATTAGCTTGAACTCCTCTTATTAAAAATATTCATGTAGTATGTATTTGTATTGTGCATTTGTTGGTTTAATCAATTTTGTCAAAGCAGATTGTTCGCTCAATGGTTTGACTTATTTACACTACAATTGAGCTTGCTTCTACCTGTCAATCAATCAGAATGTGATTGCCCCTACAATTACTTGTTGCGAATTAAATGATTCTCTGAAGACGCTACAGGAGAGCATATTATACTTCTGCAAATAGCCAAACTCGTAATTTTCATTATATGTTAACGAAACGTTTATCATATTGACGGGAGGGGGTGTATATCTAACGTGTGTTTTTATAACCTACATATATGTATGTAAATATATGTAAATTGACTTAACACGTATCATGTATCGTTACATCCACTTTTGCAATGCCGTACATATGTATGCAGGTATGCAGCATGGTCAGTAGTGGTGAATTAATAACCGTACTTCGTATTCGACTAGCTACAATTTGCAGAATGTGGCCATACTTAGCCCACAATAGTAATGATGATGATGATGAGAATAGCGCTGGGTAACTGTACCTGCAGTAACGTACCGAGTTACTTAATTGGCTTCAGGCCCTTTGTTCGTCCACCGTCCACTCAAGAACGTCGACGGCCATGGGCAGCAGTTTGATTTTACTGAGCAAGTGCCATTGCCCAGTTTATTGTAAGTTGTAAACTGTATAATAACTGAGACGAACTCGAACGACCAATAAATATTATGTGATGATTAAATGAACCTTAATCGCAAAGTAGTGGATGGATTAAGATGGAGAGATCACATTTTCTCAAAGTTTGACTTTGAATGTACGATCATGAAATCTAAAGATCGTAATTATGAAATTGCGTGTCAAGCAACCAAATAAGCCATAGCATAATCAATTCGGCAAAACTTTCTTTCGTTGGGTTTGGAGAAAGCACAGGTAAATGACAGGCACCCTGGAATTATGGCTGATTTAGGGTTGACGTAATCTGAAAATACAAAGTTTGAAACAACACAGTGATTTCGACATACCAAATTCACTAATACTTTTATACATTAGCAGCATTACAATGATTTCTCAGCCATGCATTTGGCAGAAATTTGTATGAAAATATATATATCAGAATATGTATACGTACGTAATGTGATTGTAAGAGGGAAAGTTGTGATTGCAGTTGTGACTGCACTGACCATATTACTCTGGTTAAAGAACTGGGGCAAATGACAGGATTTTTTGTGGAGTACATAGAATAATGTTGCCATTAATAACTTCAATTCAATTTTGCTGTTGTAAGGGTTTTGAATCATAAAGAACTGCACCTTACGCTTGTAACGGATAGTTAATAAGCACAAATCCTTTAAAGTGGCGCACAAGTCCTTTAGAAATGCAATCAATCATCTATATATAAAACTATACATATGTAAATATATAAGTAAATACTTATGTACATAGGTACATACACTTTGACTTCATTGTTAAAGTTAAAGGTTTAGATTCTACGTAAGGCATTTTTGGTATACACAGCAGTTGGCACGAAAATTTCTTTCGGCATAGGAAACTGCTGCATATAGAGCGGCATAATTTAGTAATGAATTATATTTTAAATAGTGTTATTGAAACAATATAAGAATGTTGCTTGTCGCCTCAGTTTTACGCTGTCTGGATTATGAGACGACTTGATGTCAGTAAGACAGTGACACTCAAATGGTCCTCTAAAACAAAATGAGACAACAGACACGATTGCAGAGATATGACGCATATGCAACAACCATTTCCGTTTACATGCAAATGTATGTATGTATAAGTATATATACTACGTAGCATTGCATATATGTATTATTGGTGTTGGTATGAGTTAGCAGTTGTGTGTGTACTTTTCTTTTCCTGGGCATTCATGTGTTGGCCGATTTGAATACAAGATTGTGGGTTTGCTTACTTACACATTACGCTTATGCTATTCTTGTCCCCGTCTCCTTTGGTTGTAGGTTTAGCAGGTCGGGGAAATGAGAGAAGCGCAAATTTGCCAGGCAAGCACATGTTCTCAAGCACACAGGACTGAAGTTGTTCCTGACTCGACCAACGGAGCAGAACAATGACGAGGCAGACTAAAAGTGGTGGTCCGTGCATACTACACAATTCTGTCAGTCCGATTACCATTCCGATCAACGATGCTGATGTGGCATTATTATTATGTTGCCCTTCTCTCCTTTTCCTTGCTCCCACTTATTCGTGAACTTTTGTTTCAGGGAAATGCATGTATGGAGCCCATGAAAATCGAAACCAATTGTACGTTGTGCTATTCTTTCCCCCTTTTTGGCTTTATATACTGCTTTAAACTGTACCATTACGCGTTTATGCTATTATCACAACTGCACGTGATGGCAACTACATATTGATTTCTGTGTTTAAACTTGGATTTTATATTTTAACCAAGTACACTTTGTTTTTCGAGTTTTTGCATGCGTTTAAATTGGACAATTTATCAACATTAAAGCATTAGAAATTACAGGAAATATCTACAAGTATATTCTGTGCTCGACAGTTTCATAGTTGTAATTTTAGCACACAATTTTTCAGGAAATATTTTTTTTCCATCTTTTCATACTCCAAACCTAATCAGTCATCGACGTCTTCCAGTTATGAGAGAGGTTCAACAAACCAAGGTCGTCCAGAAATCTACGCCAACGGATAAAATTGTTGAACGTCAGCCGACCAAAAAGCTGGGTGACATACAACAACCGCATTTTCCCGCTTGGAAAGCTTTTAGCTGGTAGTAAAGGATTGTTTAAAATTATGTTAGGAAAAGCTATATCTTGATTTTATACAATATTGCGATATTGATATTGAACATGTCACGCAAGGCAGCGCCCATGTGTAGCTTCAAATCAGGGCGACATCCAATAAATCTAATATAAACATACAGCAAACAAAATGTGTATTATACTAAAAAGCACTTCACACACATTATCTCATGTCAAGCGCAATGATAGCAAATTTTTCAATCGTTGGTTGAACCGAGCGACCCAGTTACTATTCGATGTATGCTTCTATATATTCATGCATAACCTTACAGGAAAATATAAATACAGTCATGCATGCGGTGACTCATATCGGTTGAACCACAATTTAATTTTTGTCGACGTAAATTGCAGAGATTTCTATAAATTCTTCAAGCACGCGCTGCAGGTACATCATTTCAAATATGAAGTGTAATAAGGCCTTTTGCGTTCAACTATTTTTCCCGTGTCCTTGAAGCATTATTTCCGATATGTTACAAGGAAACAAAGCAAAAATCGACCCGCCAATTTAGTTTTCAATCTTGTCGTATTTCCGGTACATTTAATGAGAGAAATTTTGTTGGATATTAAATTGAAAAAGCTCAACAATTTTTATGTATTTATTGGTCCGCTTGAGTGAGATACATACTGCTGAAATTGGAATATATATCCATGCAAGGACGTACGAATGAACGGACACGGCAGAGAAAATTGATGCACAAAACTTTCACCTCCAAAAAGGAGCCAAATAAATGAGAAAGTGTGTTCTACACATGTACAGATAGTGAAAGCAAGCACGAAACGTATACTTTTGCTTGTTTGTGAACAACAGGTCGGTTCTCCTGGTCTTACCACCATCATCCCAACCACGTTCCGCTAACCACCACTTTCTCAACCTACTTATGCATCTACTTGGTTCTATTCTGAACGATGCGGCGTTTGCAACGATATAAATACAGATTATCACCAAACCAACTCTTTGAGCTGGACTTGGACTATGAAGCTGGTAGTCATCATGTCAGCCACATATCACAATCCCTTGTATTCAGCTGTAACTTGCTGATTGTTTGATGTAGAAATCAGGATTTGAATAAAATGGTTCCTTTTGAAGCTTTTGTTTACAGAAATCTGTTGGATTTGTGAACTGCTACGTATAATTATGGATGCGCTATTTATCTCGCTTTTCTTCACTACATCAAGGCAACCAAAGCAGCCCCTGAGTAAATGAGACAAGAGAAAGTAAAATTGATTCTCTCTGGATTTCTGTGACAGTCAGATGTAAAGTTTTTGTTAAGTTATAGCGATCATATTTCATTGTATCACAGTTTTAATTGTTTATGTTTTTAAACGACAAATCTGGTTGAAATCATTTGTTTCTGTACGTAAAAGTAACAAATAATACAAAATTGATATTAGAAAATAGATATCTTAATAGATTATGCCAAGTATCATGTGCCAATATGAAAGTCATGGAATGGATGTGCATTAGCAGGTACATACATACATTATATATATAAATAAATATGTTGTAGGTATTTTTCCAGAATAAAAAAAGAACAATGTATTCAATTATAAGACAAACTAGGAAAATATTGACGAGAAGCAGAAAAATATGCAAGAATGCAAATTATTGTTGTGTATTCAACCAGCCAGGGACACGATGGTTTATATATGTATACAAATGTAGATCTGTAGGTAGACAGCACATACAACTCTCAACTGCATGCATATCTTTTGCATGATACCGTTTTTTTATTCAGAGTTGGGGACGGATGCACAATAAATTTTACTTTCCACATTATTCTCTTGTTCTCAGTCGATTATTCTTTCCTCAAGAAAGTCCGCCTCACTTCGTCTTTAAACTTTCCTTGTACCTGAAACCATGTCGTCTGCGGTGCTTTTTGTTCTTCTCTCCGTCTACAATGGAAGCAAGATGGTCTTACATCAATACTGCTGCTGCTGCTGCATCCGCTTTTGAGTCTGGTCTCTTTCTCGTAGTGTACAAAGCCTAAATTATGGAGTAAGCAAAATGAAGGTATACACAACAATAAGCTGCCATCTCTTCCCTTTTTACACTTTCTACTTCCAGCTCTCTTTTCATTTCCGTTTTCATTTCGCAGCTCAGTTCAGCCTTGCATCCTTGTGGTTATGAGCCTTGAACCGGCAAATGCTTCAATTTATAACATTAGATGAGTCCGCTTTCTGGGAATTGCGGGGTGGACACTGTGGTGGACATACCTCGCCACATCTTTTCAGTCAACATTTCTGAACCTGGAAAGTAAAAGTTAATCTTTCATTCGTAGACTGCTGCCTATTAACCTCAAGAAAATATTACAACTTATTTGCCCTGGTGGTGATCCTATTTCATATGAAATGGTCCTTATTAAGCTCAAGATTACAAATGTTGTAATACTGTCCACGTACATATTTACTATGTAAAAGCTCCAACATGAAAAACATGCATTATGTATTTACACATCAACGTTAATCTAAATTTTTATACATTTTATTGATGTTCTTCAAGTTTAATTTAAATTCATTTTTCCGTTTCTTCTGCCAATTAGGTAAATGCGTAGTAGTATGTGTACTATTTCATAAAATGGGCGTCGTAAATTAACGAGTATGCAAACAAGGGATGGGAAATGACAGATTAAGTGGACTAGATTGAATGAAATCAAAGTTGGACTGGGTGCCCTCGATTTGTTGGCCATTACCGGGTTTGCTTGCCAGCACTCACAACTGAAAGTTGAACTTGTTGTTGAAAGCACTAAAAAATATCAAACTTGGTTCACTTTGAGAGGTTCTGCATTTTACATTTCTCTCTCCTTGAAATAGACTGCTGTTGTTGTGCACGTCTTTCGTGTTCATGTTTGTCCGACTTGGAAAGCATTGGCGGAGCTGCCCAAGTAAGTGGAATGGGAAGAAAGTGGGGAAAGTCTCGAGTCGATCCAACATCATTGGTGGTGGTGGTGGCTGGTCTCGACGTGAGACCAGCCACCACCACCATATTTTCAGTGCACGGGTTGAGCCCAGAGAAAGCAGACCCAACGAGAGACAGAGTTGCACCAACCACCACTCTTTCTCAACGAACGGCATCATAGCAGTTGTACAGGCAAAGCAACAGTCTCGTCTTCAGATTAAAATGAACCATGACATTGGACTCGTAAAAACTAATTTCTTAACAAAGTTTTACTGCTTAACTCCCAACTAAACTTTCGAATCTGTGCTGAAGGCCCTCGCTACGACTCGCTGTCTCTGAATACTTAACGAGGAGGACTCTGACTGGCCGGCAACAAATTTCAGTTTAAACAGTGAGTAGGCAAAAAATTATTAAAGTAAAATAAAAAATATTGTGATTAAACAGAGAAAATCAACTCGACGGGCGGGTTATTCCATCCGAGTGAGTGTGTTGCATGTAATATGTTTTTTATTCATCCTAGTTGGTGGGCTCCCTTACATACCAAACCACTGTTGTTCTTCAAGTAAGGGGAGGCATCGCGAAAGTCAGGAGAAGCCAGCCAGCATGAAAGTAGAGTACGATATTCCCCGTTGCCCCATGGACGTCTGAATCTTGCATAGATACAGGTGGATGAATATGTAACAAGGGATTGCCAAGTAGGTTACCAGAACAAAGAAAAATTGTACTTTTACAACTTGTGTTCCTTTAGCACACCTAAGGAATGTCCCACAAACGAACCATTCTTGTGTTTGCAACCCTCTAGGACTCTGAGTGACTTTGTGCATAGGTTCGTTATGAACCTCGTGAATTTTCCTCAAGGACCATGTCACTTAATTGCAACGTCGTCTAACGACTCTTTTCAGGGAAATACACGGTAGTGTTGTGTGACATTTGATAGTTGACTTGAAGGATGCATTAAGATAATAAGGGGACCTCCACCTGGTGGAACTTGACCCATGTGCAGTGAACTTTCTATATATACGGAGTCAAATAACGAGTAAAGTGACTACCAAGAGACATTGTCTTGTAACGACAGGACGACGACGAGGACGACGACGAGCAGGAGGCAAGTAAAGAGTATTAATCCGGGGTGGTTTGAGAGAGAAAAGGATCACTGTCTTGAAATCTGGAATCAATATCTCCTTCTGCTACTCCCCCCGGTCTCTCTTCGTGATAGTGCTATTGTAACAGTCCGGACCAACCACAAAAAGATTAATGTAGCAAGCAAGTGGTTGTTGCACTCAGAACCGCACGATTACGATTACTACATCCCACTCATCTGATCAAATAAATAAATTGACTTTGCCCAGTGATTCTAAAACTACAAGTGTAATTCAAGATTTATACTTTCACTCTGGGGATGCTCATATGCAGTACTTCTGCTCAGTAAATATACTCCACAATACAATCCACTCACAAACCAGACCTTTGTACATACATACCCACTGACCTACATGCAATATGATTGTTCCAGGAAAATACTTGAGATTTCTCTTGTTCAGTTGAAAGTCAAAACGTCAAGTTGTTTCTTAACCATCTGACAGCGGGACTGACAGCATTTCTTCACGCCGCTTTCAACAAATAAATAATTTTACAATAAGCGACGACCTTGCACTAATACATTCTTTCTGAATCCAGCAAGTGAAATTGTAAGAGACGGGATTATGCGTACAAAAAGATGCTGAAATTTCGGAAAAGGCATCAACTCAATTCGACCTACAGGCTACATACACCAGCGATCTGCATGTACACTTTTGAAGGGTAGAGTTCTGTCGGAGGCATCTTGAGTCAACGTCTGTTCACTTTTTCTCAAGTTGTCGAGTCCAGATAGCGCATAACGGAATCGCCTAATGACCACTTCACCACCATTATTGAGAGGAGGAAATGAGAAAGCACTGCAAACGTCTTTTAAAATATCACAAACACTGCAAAGTTGAAAACTAAGTACTGGGGTACACTTACGTCTGCATGTGTCGAGGAGTGAAGTTGTCTTTGTTCCTACACTATTCAGAGAGGAAAATTACGGAAATATGACTGCTACGTGACTACGTGAGATAAAGAATCTCTCATCGTTGTTCTCAGTCTATTACAAAAAAGCAATAAAAACACGGTTTTTATAATATTCTAACGAACTATGTATGTACGACTACTGAATTTCCGTTAGAAGAAGAAGAAGTGACATTTCCCAAACTCTGAAACTGAAACAATTGCCGGTGGAGGATGAAGAAGCTGGTGTAAATGAGGGCAGATAGGGAAACAACCAAGAGACCGTGAAAGGAAATGGCCTCTCCATTTATGCATACAACATACAAATAAATTTCCGAATACGGGTTTCCAATCACCAACGAGTTCTTCCCACTGGTTTTGACCATTTTGGAATCTTGCGTGATTGCTTAAACATCCAGACAGCAATCGAATTTTGGATTTCGTGTGTGGTTTATATAAATAAGTTAACTCATGCCTCCAATTTGTGTGGGGTAGGAAACAGCAGAGTCTCATTTACGTAAAGGAATGGACAAAAACTATGACGAGTAAAATTTAATTTAAAATTGGACTACGCTCACCAAACTAAACTTTATACATATGCAGCTGCGCATGTATACATACAAACGTCTTGACCAAGTTCATTGTAAAATATTTACTGCATATTTATTGTCGTATTATATTGTGATTTAAATTTTCATCCTCTTCTCAAACCGAGTGGGGGAAAAGAGTTTGCAATTTGGTGACAATTTGAAATATTAAATTGACTCATTTCAGGTTCATTCCCGTGGCTTTGTGGCCAAAGTTTAAATGAGTTCTTGGCGTCGAACCCAAATTCGCTCCAACGGCTGAGTACTTCAAGGCCTATAGTCCAAATAACGGGACGTATCTCCGTGAAGCATCTTATCCTCTCCAACTGAATACCACGTTATCATCTCCAATCTTTGTAATAAGCCTAATTTTGCCTCACTACATTAACAACCATACATAATATTAGCGCTTCAATGCGGTATGCATACATGCATGACGAAAAATATTCTGACGAGGGGAGAGGTGTCTAAGAGAGGACGGGAAGATCTAAAAATCTAAAATGGGTGAAAGCATGAGAGGCGATGTGAGCCAACAATGCTGATGCTGGAGTACGTATTGGGTGTTACAGTGCTCGTGGTTGTGGTGGGGTTTGCACTAAACGCTAATGCCGATTTCGGACCTTCTCCGCTCCTTCTCCTACTTAACCCTCTATGTTTTCACTAATGGAAAGCCACTCAGTGACCAAGAAGAAGAAGATGCTCCACTTCCGACGACCACTCTTCGCATCTGACCGTAATCGTGGGAATTATCATCGTATTATTGATCATTCGATTGTCCTCTGCTGCTGCTGCTTGGTCGAGCTAATTCTCCTTGTTCCATCCGAATGCATCCCCCAAATTACAGGCCAAATCATTCTAAAGGCGAATGTACTCTATGTGACTCTATTTCTGCTTGTTACACTAGTAAAGTATTTGTGGAACATATATGTCAAAATCCCAACTCAACTTAACAAGTATAGAAAATATGTGGCAAACAAGGGTGCAAAATCTGCAGGAGCAGTCTTGTTTCAACGCCGAGGAAAGAAAGTGATATCCGTGGCCACGATATGTCAATGTCTCGAGCCCACTCATTTCACTAATGGTTCATTATCAACGGCTGCAACATTTTGTCAAATATTCACCCGACAGGGGCACAAACCGGGGCCTGAACATATAATTCAGACCAATGGGGAAAGTCGTCCCAACATTTTATCCAATTCCCAAGAAAACATCAACCACAATAAGTGCTACTTATCCTTAAAATCAAGCAGATCACTATAAACAGTACAGTATTTAGTAGTGCGGCCTGCGTGTGTAAGTCCCACAGAAACAATTAGAAACTGCAATTAAAATCATAATTTGTTTCTATAGCCGAATCAATTCAGATTCAAATAAGAATATTTAAAAAAAAATCTCCACTAAAAAAAGTAATTTTGTCAATTTTTGTGAAGTTTTAGATATCGAAACACGTTTAATTTTTTTGTTCGTGCTGTAAAACCATCAAGAAATCGGACAAGAATCACAATAACACCAACATTGCATTTCGTTCCTACAACAGAGAACGCTGCAAAGTGATCCCACCCAACTTGTGTTTACACGTGGTTCGCTGTACAAACACAGAAATTGGCTGAACAGAAGCGGAGGCCAAACTTTAGCTTGGTGCACGATGGCAGGGGCGGCAGGAGCGCTCGTCGGTATGTCCAAGTCGCGACAATCATTGGGTATTAGACATAGAACATCTTCGGTGGAGGAACTCTCAGAGAGACGTTCCTCCATAAGAAAGTCCCTCGAAAGTGGTTTGGGTTTGGATGAGGAGGAAACTGTGGAAGGACCAGTTAAAGCCAAATTTATGCCATTTTTTCGTAAATTTTGGCCTCATCTAGAACAACAAGAACATGAATCCGCCAAGAGGTACGCGGACGGGAGTGTGGGAGACGAATTAGTTGTTGACGAGCCTACGGACTCCCTGAAATCGATCAATCCTTCCTGGTACGGCAGCATTCTGGAAGAGGTGGATCCCTTCATCCCTTCAGATGTGAGTTTAATAATTTATTGTCTCCTTTGTTTTCTCTTCTCGTGCATCCTCCTACCTCGGTGCGGACAGATTACTTTGCTGCGGCAAAATATTGCAAACAATACAACAATGCCAGCATACATACACAACGAGATTGCGGTAAGACTTTCAGTCAGGCCAGGAGACTGGATGCCATACGATATGTTATGAGACTGCGGCTGCGAATGAATCGCTTATCTCCTGTAATATCACTATTATTTTACGGTAGGACGACCTGTATTATTATTATTATTTCATATTTATTATTGATATGCACTGCACCAACAGGCCTCAAGCCTCTCCAACACATGTGTATGTATGTAGCATTTCTTCTCTACTCTTATTCTGAAATTCGTGGTATGAAGCTAGAGATACATACTTGCTTGGTCGATTTGTTCTTATTATGGACGAAGGGTTTGACTTTGTAACATATTCATTTGGGCCAATTTGAGATTCGCAAATATTTATACTGCATCCAGTGACAGAAAATGAATGGAGGGAGCATATGATAATTAATACAGGGCAATTACTTAATACGCAAGACACGACTCTCTCAGGGGTTGTAAGTACCATGCAAACCAACCAGTAAACTTCTCTCAGGATGCAAGTGGCCAAAACCATTTCCTTTCACATCCATCTCTCCCAAAAACTGCATGTTTGTTGTTTGTTGGTTGGTGGCCCTGTGTTGGATCTGGCTGGCTGATGCCCGTGCAGCAGTTAGTTATTGCGTTGGATTGAAGTTATAGTGGTGCTTTGTTTTACCAGTCCATTCATTCCGCCGGATGGTTGATTTCTGAAAATGGGGTTTGGCTAATTTCTAAAACATTTCTAGTTGGATTCATTCATCCTGGGATTTTAGGTTCTCTCTCCACTTTCGTAATGCTTTTAGTGCTTTATAACACCGCACTACTGGTTGAGTTATCATTCTTCCAGGCACTGTCCCACTCCTGTGACAATGGTTCTTTTCATTAGCATCGACTTGTATGCATACAATTACTATGGTTAAATCGGTTTGTGAACCAAGCAGCTCTTTCAGCATTGTTTGAAAACTGTTTTGGGGCAACTTCATATACATAATCACTAGACGGATTAACTTCGCCCCGATGTTCAGGCTGTAACCCGCATTATTGTTGTCTTCATCAGTGGAGAATAGAACCATAAAGTGGATCCCACTTTGGAGAAAGTATAAGAACAAGACTCGTATGTAGGACACAAATAACGTAGCTTGGCCAAGTAAAAAATCTGTTTCTTTCGTTCTGTAATACCACCCTTTTCTTATGGACACACATATTGACCGGTTTACTCGGTGGGCTCTTTGGGGACACACCTTAACCCTGATTTGATCTACTGGAGTAATTAATTTTGGCTAACAGTTATTTCTAGCCAACTTTTCCCATTAGAGCTAATTGAATCTATGTGCGTCCACCTTTTTAAGCACTTGAATTGCTGCAGATGGTTTAGTGATCCTCCTTATGACCCATTAAATTCATTATATTCCGAGTCATTCATTTTTGCCAACAAAAGCGTCATCAAATATACAGGCTCAATTTCGCAAAGATATACGTACATAAAGGTATTTACATACAATATGGACCCCATTGAGCGGCATACTTATTTACTTGCAGTGGTGATGTAGACTTTGTATCAGTACCACAGATCGCCACTTCACACTTGTGCAAATATGTATAAGCAGAGTGGATCATTGTTGTATATGCAAATAACTTGAAGTTGAAGTGGTATACTTTCCGGTTCGGTTTCACGTAATGCTTCTTTTAGACAATCCAATAATCTGCGATTTCCAGTCCATCAAAAGATTCAAATCCAAACCCATGCAAGTTTGACTTGCTTTGAAAACTCTTATTCTAAACGTTGTGCTTTCCACTTTTTCCACCTGAAAGCCAATGCGAAAGAACGGAATGCGGATTGAAACGGCAAAGGGCGTGTCACTGCCTATGTACGTATGCTGTCTGCCTATCTGTCTGAGACTGGTGCATGTTGGCACTTCTTGTTCGGTAGAATGGTTAAGAAATCACAAATGGAGAACCTGACAAGGTTGGACAGACTCATTTGTTTTCTTCAACTCGAACCTCCACGAGTTCAAGGGTATTGGGTGAAATTACAAAGTGGAAGTTTATTCATTCATTCATTCTGCACTGACTACTGGCACACTTCAGTTTTGTGCTTCCTCGAAATCTGCATCAACATTTTCAAAGTCTTCATCCTTGGCTAAATATACAAATTTCAGATTTCAAAATTTTGGCAGCTGACATAGAGTTCCGTATTCTATTCTGTATTCTATATGTAAACGACAATATTAGACAAAAGCCGTAATAATGCCGTAATATTTATTGTCATTGAGTCAGTATCGCTTCTTTTCAATTATCCTATTATAATTTTGCTTCATCTAATAATTAATTGCCGGGAATTAGGCTTTGCTGAGTAATGGAGTCATGAAAACTCATTTTGATGGGATTGCAATCCAACGGAGGCAAAGTTCAAACTGGGAAACTGTTTGAAACTCCCGAGGCTATAACAATAAAAGAGAAATAAAAGAGTTCACAAAAGGGTTTTAAGTGCACCAATCTCCTCCCACTGCTCTCCTCCAGCCCATGATTTACGCACACTGAGCTTCGTACATACTGCCCGTTCCTTATCCATCCATTGTACAAACACACTTGTGCACAAAACACTCAACTAAAGATAACCCAAAATACCAAGCTTGTCGTGTATGAAGTGCTTATAAAAATAGGACTTGTAAATAAATTTAGTTAAATTACTAAATTTCTTTAATGCCCAAACGTGATGTGTGGCATATTTCTACCGTACGTAGATCCCATACGATTTCATGTTCAATGATTTTACTGCGACTGGACTTAACGAATTGAATGAATGACCCTTCACGACCGAGTCAGTCTTTACATCGCCCAGATTAAAAACGAGCGAGTTTGTGAAAGCCTTTGCTTTCGATTCTCAAATAAGAAGCCTTAAAACTTTGTTAGCACGACATATCCACGGTGCACTCCATAAACATGCCCTAGACACATTTCTCTTCTCATTGCTTTCCCTCTCTGCAGTATACATAGCTCACATGAACGTGTACACACACTACACGTTTTGCATATATTAATGGATTCATTAAATGGCAAAATAATATGCGAGGGCATGATTTGATTGCACTAGGCTAAAAGTGTAGAAGGAGTCATTAATATAAATAATAGCACTATGTACGTAGAGCTTGATAGACTGACCGACTAAATAGTAATTCAGCTCTAGTGGCTAATTCATCGGTGGTGTGTGTTATCTAAAAGCAGAGTTAAGTTGAACAATGGGGAATATCCATCTGGAACAATTAACTAATTAACACTTTATTCGGCGCAAGTATTGCTCCATGGTCTTTGATGATTTAGCAACGCGACAGATTATACGAAGCTGTTTGTAGCAAGTATAGTTTTTATTCGGAAACTGCTTCGAGTCAGTCCCATTACACGTAGCTGTGTGCTGCTCAAGTGGGCTGAGCAAAATTGCCACAATGGAAATGATATTAAGAACGACGTAGTCAATCCTCTGTAAGCTGGTTTTAGAAGCAAGAATAAGTAGGGAATGATTTCTCCCTGATTTTGTGATACCGGTTGTTTTGCTAGCAAGCAATGGCAAAGACTTGGAGCGCAACACTGCAGTTAATTCAGAGTTATATTCACGAGATTAGATTGGTGTTGGTTGGGTGGTGGACGAATTGGTTAGGGACTACGGATAGTGTAAAGACCCCCCTCCAGGGCAGCAGTTAACTGAATTGGCTAAAGTGAAAGCAGAACGTCGAAATAATGAAAGAGTAGCCTTGTTGATACTCTTTGTTACCAAACTTGGCTAATACATGGGCTATGAGACCCTATTTCTCTCCTCCAGTCCCCGCTTTATTACTTTGTCTCTCTTCCAGACCAGTCTACTTTCACTGATTGTCGAGTGTCGATCTAAAAAAACAACCCATTTTTTTCTTCTCACAGAGCACTTAAACCGCATCTAATATCCTTCCTGCTCTATGAGCTACAAATAAGTAGCAGTGTTTTATTTCCTCTGTAACGTCTCAGTACTCACTGCCAATTTAATGCTGAATATTTAATGAGAATCACATTCATTGTTTCCTGTCCCGTTTTTCATACTTATTTTCATGACTTGGTCATTATTTTATAGGCATGTTCATAGTTTTTGCGTGGTTATATTTTCGATATAATCATACATAGATATCTGTCATCTATACATAGATAAATACGTGCTCATCATGTGCATGTGCAGATGGGAATGTGTCTTGTATGGATCATTTTAAAAGCAGATAAAGGAAAAGTTCCACATTTTCATGGGTTTTATGGGAATAAGATAAACTCGGGATTGCTCTACTCGATTCTCATTTCTCACATTCACCCAGCTCTCCACTGACGACGACAAAATATACAACACTTTGTGAGCCCTATTTTCTCATCCTGCATTTCTGTTATCATACACATCCTGAAAAGACGAGGATCACCAGGACACATATGCTGCAATGTGTAACGTTCGTTATACTAAAAAACTTTATATAAGCTATCTAAAGATATTTTATTCAATAGTTTAGATATAAATTCACTTTATTACTACCGTGTGGTGTTACGTCATTTAAAAAATTCAAATATTCACAAGCGGATGCAAAAATGGGAATACGAATGCACACAGAGTTTTCAATGGGATAACGTTGATTATAATAATGCTACTTAATCGTACTCTCCTTTCCCGACACTGTTTTGCTCAGTTTCAGACATCGCAATTTTTTACCATGCGACTTTACTAGTTTGACATGATATACGATATTTCGGCTTGAGTGCGCAAATAATAATGTTACCATTGTTTCTTCAATCTCGGGAGAATACGCAAAAAGATTTTTTCTTCAAGTTTCACTTTGATTGTTTCTCAAACAGATTTTATTTAGAAGCCAACCAAACTCAAACCTATGC